AATGAGTAATTCAATGTATGCGGACAAAATATTGTTGGCCACGTGAGATATAGCGTTTGTTATAGCGCGACTGTTGAAATTAAGTGTATCGTAAAGTTGTATTCGGAAAGAATAAACCAGTTTTATTAAGAAAGGATTTGAGTCGCTAAACTGAGACGTAACAATACCATACTATTTTGAACTTGGTGCGCACAAAGTATTTTAAATGAACGCCAGAAATTCCGTAAATGTTGAATACTTGGAAGCAAAGCGACTTTTACAGTTTCTAAAAAATAAATGTAATATTTCTGTTAGAAGAAAAAACAAACAAACCCAAAACAATGACTTTATTTCTGAAATCAGACTTTAATCAAACATAAACGGGACATCATATTACAAATACAAGAATTGTTGTTTGATACTTTCCTTCATCTTCTCCAAACAACGTAAGTCATGGACCCGTTAATGTTATTTCAGTTAGCTATGCTATTTACATTGTAATGTCCAGGCCAAAGGTACCTGTGTCTAATGATGCACACCTACCACGTAAACATTCCACAAGGAAGAAGTTCAAGAGGTTTGGTTTGTTTTGAATTTCGTGCAAAGCTACACAAGGGCTATCTGCACTAGCCGTCCCTAATTTAGCAGTGTAAGACTAGAGGGAAGGCAGCTAGTCATCACCACCAACTCTTGGGCTACTTTTTTACCAACGAATAGTGGGATTGACCGTCACCTTATAATGCCCCCACGGCTGAAAGGGCGAGCATGTTTGGTGTGACGGGGAATCGAACCCGCGACCCCCAGATTACGAGTCGAGCGCCCTACCCACCTGGCCATGCCGGTCCGTTCAAGAGGTTAAACAACGTTTACACCTATCTAAACATGATGTACCTCTTAAAATGTTATTTTCAAGTTTAAATACTATCCTTAATGCTCCCTGGAAATGATTTAAAAACAAATCAAGTAATAGGGAAGTGTAAAATGAATGGAATTTTAAGAAGTTTCCAAACTCAGAAAATGTTTAACAAATAAACGATGCAACACAACACATTTATATTCTACATTTATTGAATAATGGATGTCACACATATATTTACAATTACTAGATGTTCAATAACACAATATAATTATTATTTTCATACTGGCCCTATGCCAAACAAAGGTTTATACATAACTCCAAGATACAAAACTAAATGAAATTCACAAAATGAACTGAAAATGTTTTCCTGCAGTATCACTATAGTCTTTATTTTAATGACCTGTGTATCAATTTTTTTCCTGCAGTATCACTATAGTATCTATTTTAATGACCTGTATATCAATTTTTTTCCTGCAGTATCACTACAGTCTGTATTTTAATGACCTGTGTATTAATTGTTTTCCTGCAGTATCACTATAGTATCTATTTTAATGACCTGTGTATCAATTTTTTCCCCTGCAGTATCACTATAGTCTCTATTTTAATGACCTGTATATAAACTGTTTTCCTGCAGTATCACTATAGTCTCTATTTTAATGACCTGTGTATCAATTTATTTTCCTGCAGTATCACTATAGTCCTTCCTTCTAATGACCCCATATACCAATAGGTAAATGATAAAAAGACAATGTGCAAATTCAGATACTATCTTCTAATAAATATTAAACACAGTAATATTGTTTAAAAAATGGTTCAGAAAGTTTGGAGGAAAGAGTTATTACACCAATTCAATCATTTTTGGCACTGTGATCATTTCTTAGGTATAAAGTTGTCTTTAACCAATCTCTTTATTTAAGAACACTTGATAAAACTTAAAACAAATTTTATTTATTTACACACTGTTTAATTAGCAAGTTTTTTTCAATCATGCACTCAGTTCAAACTGTGCAAAAAAAACCTAACAAATGATCATTAAACGATACACAAAATATAAAAGTGAATTTTTATTGGTGTCACATAACTTTAAGTTGATCATCAAAACAGTGTTACACAGCTTCAAGGGAACACCTATCAGAACACAGACAACAGTGGTTGTTTCAATAACCTAACACTACAACACTGTTTCAGAGCTTCAAGGGAACACCTATCAGAACACAGACAACAGTGGTTGTTTCAATAACCTAACACTACAACACTGTTTCACAGCTTCATGGGAACACCTATCAGAACACAGACAACAGTGGTTGTTTCAGTAATCTAACACTACAACACTGTTTCAGAGCTTCA